GGTATGGCGTGCTTTGGACAGCTGTCCGGTAACTCGGTGACTTCGTACTATCTGCCCAACATGGTGGCCAACGCCGGAATCACCGACGAAAAGACCAAGCTGATGCTCAACGGCATTTACCCCGCCATTTGCCTGGTGGCAGCGGTCACCGGGGCCCGGTTGACGGACAAGATTGGCCGTCGTCCCTTGATGATTTACTCGCTGCTGTTCTGCTCGGTGGCTTTTGCCATCATTACGGGAACCTCCAAGATGGCGACAGACAATCCGGATAACAGCAACGCGGCCAACACGGCGATCGCATTCATCTACCTGTTCGGCATCGTCTTCTCGTTTGGCTGGACCCCGTTGCAGAGCATGTACATTGCCGAGACTCTCACGACAACCACCCGCGCCAAAGGTACTGCCTTTGGCAATCTCATGTCCAGCATCAGCAGCACCATCATCCAGTATGCGTCCGGCCCGGCCTTTGACAAGATCCACTACTACTTCTATCTGGTGTTTGTGGGCTGGGATCTGGTCGAGGCGGTAGTCATCTGGTTCTACTTCCCTGAAACGAAGGAACGAACTCTCGAGGAACTAGCTGAGGTGTTTGAGGCGCCCAATCCGGTCAAGAAGAGTTTGCAGAAGAGAGATATCAACTCTGTCTTGAACACTCTGGAGGTTCAGGGGGATCTTAAAGCGTAGTCTATTCTGGGGTTTTACTAGTTAATGCTTTTCAATGGCTGAATATATCCGAGCCAAATGAATGTATGATTGAATCCATACGTTTTTTTCCAACTATAATCAGCCTCTGCATAAATCAATTTCTCATCTCCTGTGTACAGATGTCCCTGATCTGGCCTTTTCTGGGGAACCCTTTCCGGCCCCTGATTGGCCAAGACAGAATGCGAGGAATGCGGGGAAGAGATCTTCGTCTTCATTTCGGGTCAATCCCGCTGATTCCTCATGCACTCTGTCTTATTAGATAGATTCTGCTTGATGACTCGGTCTTTCCTACTTAAATAGGGTATCATGTCGCTAGATGAGACGCCCGACTATCGTAAGCGCAAGAGAACTTCCCACGCGGTTTGCCTCCTCTTCTCCAATTGGGTGACCCCTGCTGATCGGCAGACAGTGTGACCCCTGTCGATACAGAAAAGTGAGGTATGGCTCCCTCTGTATCAATCATCAAGTAGGAGCACAACTGAGTAGGCAGATGCGATGGTCGGCAGCCCTGCACAACATGTGCCAACACAGGCGAGGAATGTGTCTACGGCACCGAGGCAGTCCCGTCAGTATTCCCATGCATTGACTGCGCATTGACTGACCAACTACAGCAAGAACAAAAGCGATTTAATTCTCGAGGTGGCCGTTCGCTCCGAGCGATTGCTTCAAGATATGTCCGCTCAATTAGTAGCTCTCCCTGTCGTGAATGCATACCTTTACTGACCCAACTAGGCCAGGGTGTCAGGGGTGCTGGACGGTAAAGCCTCCTCGCAGTATCATACATCTCCAACGGCCATAATCTCTCCTTCCACAATCAACGCGGGCCATCGCCCTGACTGTCCTGGCGACCACATCTCCAATGCCACCCTGTCAGCCTTTCATGCCTCCACCACCGAGTCTATCCTCGCATGGCCGCACTTCAACGATTTCCAGTCCCTGCGGGAAGATCACAGCTTCTCCGTCTTTCACCTTGAGTCCAGCCGTGCGCCACTCGCGCCTCGTGCAGCAACGGTGCACCCCTACGCCAGCCGCAGCGAAATCGACCGTGTGGTGCATAGTTTCCAGCGCAACGTCAACTTTTGGTATCCCACCATGTCGGTAGCCCAGGCAGCCGAGGTACAAGTGCTCATAGCCGCGGGCATGTTCGGCGACAGCGTCAAGTCCTGTCTGGCTCTTTTGGTGATGGCACTGGGCTGTGCAAGTGAACTGATCTGCTCGTACGCGGCACATGAAGATCCGGACTCGGACGAGCTGGAGCTCCGCAGTCATCGGCGAGCGATGGGCGAGCTCTATTTTGACTGTGCGTTCAAAAAGATCTATCTAGCGCAGGCCGAGTGCTCGGTGGATGCAGTCCAATCTTTATTCTTTACAGCGTATATCCCCCGTACCAAGGAGTTGGCCCCTTCTGACCATTCCAGCATCTTCTTTGCATTCCTCCAGCGTCCTCTACAAGCGTGGTCGTTCATCCACGCCACTGCCGCCAAATGCCGTCTCCTTTTAGCTTACCATAACCCCGACGCCAACCCAGCAGAGCAGGAATGCCTCCGTCGGATCTTCTGGTCCTGCTACATCCTAGAAAGGTATGCACCTCCCTGACTGTCGGCATCAACTGACCAGAAAGTGACTACCTCGCCGAACTGTCCGCTCTCCCCCAAACCGGCATCGCCGATATCGAGTCCTCCATCCCCCTCCCTGGCGAATACCAAACGCACCTCTCGCAAACCGACGAAGAACAATCCTCCCTCTACTTCCTCGCCTGCATCTCCATGCGGCGGCTCCTCAACCGCGTCCACAACCTCCTCTACGCGCGCGACACCGGCGTCGCCTTCGACAACCACCAGTTCCCCTCCGTCGTCGCCGAACTCGCCCACCAGCTCGAGGAATGGAAGGACCTCCTCCCGCCCCCGTTTCAATTCGCCGTCGACCTGCGCCCGCTGGCCTGCACCGCCGGCGCGTTCCTCCGCCAGCGCTACCTCACCTGCAAGAGCGTCATCTACCGCCCGTACCTCACCTGGGCGCTCTCCATGACCGCCACCGCGACAGTGGAACATTTCCCGCCCCAGCTCTTCGAAGGGTGCAAGATCTGTCTCGAGGCGTGCTGGCTGCATGCGCAGAACCTGGGGAGTTATCCACACACGGTGCTAGTGGATACGTGGATCTGCTCGTTGTCGTATGTATGTTGCCTTGGACTTTGGATTATGCTGATAGTAGTGTAGGATGGCGAGTGTGATGCTGATTACGCTGGCTGCGTCGCGGTTGACGGCTTTACGGGGGTGCTTGTCGCCCGAGGTGGCGGAGATGGGGCCTCATCTGGCGAAGCTGCTGACGCAGTGGATGCATATCCCCGGGCATGGCGTGTCGCCGAGTGTGTTGCAGAGTGTGAAGCTTATTGGGGATGCAGGGGTGTTGTTGAGGATGAGATTGGGGTGATCATGCATGTGGAATGTTTATATTAGGCGATTTTATACATGCACAACTACAATAGACATGAACTAGGAACGCATTACTGCTTCTCCTCCACAGGATGCTTATCCAAACTCTCATACCACTGTATGACAGACCCCAGCAGGAACGCCCAGGACCCCCAGAACGTCGCCAGCGTGCTCTGATACTCGACCCCCGAGTTAGCCGCTGCTGGTCCCAGCACCCCACACAGAGTGAATCCAATCCCCCCGATAAAATTCCAGAACCCGACATGCCAGCCGAGAATGTGGATGGCGGGAATATACCATTTCGGCTGCGTCTCTACCGCAAAAAGTAGCCCGCTGAGTATAAAGCACGACCCGCCGACGATCTGCGGGACCCAGAAGACGCCGTTGGTGACCGCTTGGCTCATGTGGTTGATGATGCCAGGAAGGCCGGTGAACCCGGCGATCCAGAAGATGGTGGCTCCAATGAGCTGCACGAACGAAGCCCAGAATCCGATCTCGTGGAGATAGTGGGTGCGGAGTTCGGTCATGGTGGGCAGCCACGCGAACGATCGCTTTCGATCAGTCGATGTGCGTCTGTGCGAGCCCTGTTTGGCCATGGATGGAGTCAGGAACGAGCTGTGGTTAGCATGATGATGCAGACACGACTCCATGTCAGACTTTATGCGCACGACAGCCTGTTCGACTTCATCGGCGGCTTCCTTGGAGGCTGTCTCGACCGCCCAGCCGAAGCAGCCCGTCTGGTCCTCGTTGGCTGCCTCCAGAGCCAGAAGAATACTGCCGACTTCGAAGACAGTCGCGCCGATAAAGGCCGTGACGCCTCCGCCCGTAAGGACTTCATTCGGAAACTCGGTGGACGGGTTCTCCAACGGCAGCCAGACGAAAAAGGCGTTGATGCACCAGATTACCGATCCGATCGTAAAGACAAAAGCCACCCAGAAGGAAATGTCCCAGTAGGGAAAGGTCGTGAACATGCGACGAATCCCTTTGAGGATGGCAAATGGGTGGATTGTTTTGCGGGGGTAATTCTTGCCTTCGACTCCCGGCGGTCGCTGGTGGATGGTGAGCGCATGTCGTCCTTTACGATTATCCCGAGAGCGCCAGAGTCTTTCGATATGAGGCCTTGCGATGGTTTCTCGGTCAAGATGTGGATGCGTGGGCAATGGAAAATGCGCCCGTGTTGGATTGCAAGAGGCCAGAGGACCAGAGATGTGGTGGGGTGATCCAAGCGGCACTTGTTGGTCCTGTAAGGGCTTTCGGCCTGCATGAAAGGCCTGCGACCGACGCATTTTTCCTTTGATGAAGGTTTATAATTTTATTGAAGACGAGCGGACATTTTGTTTGGATTTCCCTATTGCGACTGGATGAGATTGGACGATGTGGTCGATGGATGACGGGAATGCGATCAAGGACGAGGTCAAGATGCGGGCCAAGCTACCGCTGCTCTTTAAATATCAGACCACCCATGATCTCATTGGATTGGACAAGTTTCTAACAACCTTACCATCCGCCAGGTTAAGTCCTCTCAATTATACTCGAGTATCTCTGGTACTAGCATATGATGGCGCTGTCAGAATCTTGGAAATGCGGGCGCTGATCCTGGCACCAGCCAAGCTTTTTTCTGGACGGCCCACCGGATAATATCGCCTAATAAAATGATAAAGCATGCTGTCAACAGTTCAGAATACGAAGGATGAATTCAATGTTACATTCATGTTACATTCGCTTGTCTCTATTGACTTTGGCTATGTATCAATTGGGGATGATTCAGGGGAAGATCAAAGTACACATCGTCAGCATGAGGCGAAGACGAAATATATATAACACCGCATGGGCTTCGATTAACAACAACAACTAGTCTTCACAATGCGTCTATCCACTTTTATCTTTGCAATATTTGGCACCATCCCCAGCCATGCAATCCATCACCCATCCGGCCATGATACCCTCCGTTTTGGCTCCCCCGAGTCCGTAGGCCTTCTATCAGCACCCCTCCGCCAACTGAAAACCAACATCACTGGCTATCAGCAACCAGCCAACTATGGAGCATTCACGCACAATGAGATACACCCAATTGAGCCATCGTCTGCAGTGATCGTGGGCCATGATCGCACAATTGTCTCCCTTTTCGCCAGTGGAAACATGTTGCAGTATGCCGACGCCAATGGCACCGAATTGCCCCCCTCACAGCAACTGCCCGCACGAACAGACACCATCTATGATATGGCCAGTCTGACCAAACTATTTACCACCGTTGCAGCCCTGCGAGAGATTGACACTGGCCGACTCTCACTGAACAGGACGGTGGCGTCGTACATGCCATCGTTTGCAGCAAATGGGAAAGAGAATATTACCATCCTGATGCTTCTGACGCATACTTCTGGCTTTGCTCCAGACCCAGAACCTCCGTTGAATGACCCAGTGTATAAAACGGTCGAACAAAGGACCGCCGCAATACTGAATCAGAGTCTGAGCAATGCGCCCTGTTCCACGTATCTCTACTCAGATCTCAACTTCATGTCTCTTGGTCTGCTTCTGGAACACGTCACCCACAAAAAACTGGATAGATTGATCCGAGACTTCACCAATCCCCTCGGCATGCATGACACCTTCTTTAACCGGGGGAACATCGAAGGCCCAGCATTCCCCTTCTACCCCCGCATGGCAGCCGAGGAATTCCAGATCGAGGTCCTGGGACCAATGGAGCCCCAGCGCCCACAACCGGTTCGTGGAACCGTCCACGACGAGAATGCCTGGGCTCTGGATGGCGTATCCGGACATGCAGGGCTGTTCTCAACGGTCGAGGATACGGCTGTTTTCTGTCAGATGATTCTGAACAACGGTACGTATGGAGGCCACCGTATATTGTCGCGCGAGGTCGTAGATCTCATCTTTCATAACTTCAATGCGAGATTTCCCGGGCATGAGCACGGATTAGGATTCGAGCTGAATCAGTACTACACGGCGGGACCAATGGCCAGTCTTCAGACTGCCAGCCATACCGGCTTCACGGGAACGACTCTGGTGATCGACAGGCCGTCAAACACATTCTTCCTTCTGTTCGCCAACCGTGTCCACCCTAGTCGAAACTGGTCCTCGAATAATATTGCTCGGGAAGCTCTGGGATACTGGGTGGCCAAGTCCTTGGGAAGAGATGTCTCCTTTCCGCCCCATTGAATGAACCCGAAAGGGTGTATTTGAGCACAAAGAATGGTCAGTATAGCAAGAACCGCATCAATAAAAAGGCATTTCGCATCAGATCATAATATAGACTGTCAGGTGTAGATTCCTGCCTTCGTAGCTACACGTGAGCCTTGTTCCGTACGAAGAAAGAAACAATCCGCGTGCGCTGGATTGCTCTAGACTGACTGCCGCACCCTGAAAGCGATCCCGGCGGATTTTGGGCGGGAATCCAGCGGAAAAATGGATAAGCACAGCTAGCTTTGGCCAAGACAGTTACCTCGGCCAAGGCATACGATTAGATGCTATACATGCAGGCTGAGACTATCCAAATCTAATCCAACAGAATACGGCCATTCGCGTGAATGAACCCCGCATTTCATCATCTGCCGTCCCCAGGATTTGACCCCAGATCTCGTGCTTGGTGACTGGGCACGAAGTCAGCGGGGAAGGTCATGGACGCGGGGGCTGGTTCAATGAGCTTTCGGCGTGGAGAAAAGTCTGGATACCAGCCGTAGCTTCGTAGATATGACCCGGTTCAAGCAGATATAAAGTCCTGGTGGACCCCTGATCGGGTTGTCATGTCAAGATCTATGCTAGGATCTAGAAGGCTTCGTGAATCCTACAGAAGATGGAAGGCTGATGGAAGAGGATTCCGCTCGGTTAATTGCGGTATATGTGTCTGGCTATACGCGGGGTTGGGTTGATCCTCAGCTCGAAAGGAGACTATGTATGCTATTTTCTTGATGTAGAGTACAAGCCAATGCCTTGAATCTATATGCAAATGTGCTGTACCCTGCTCCTTCTTGCTTGTTGTCAAGAGGTTATCAGATTCGTTGGTCAAATGCCCAGCACCCATGTCTGACCGCTTCTTCAAAATCCTGAAGCTATATGCAGGCACAAAGGAGACGGGGTAAGGAATTCGGAATGTACTCCCACGCGGAAATGGCCAAGGAAAAATCATCAGCCGGACTGGAACGTCCTAGAGATATTTTACTAAGCTCAAATATCTCAGCATTCATCCGCAGGTCTTTCAAGCACAGTTGCAGCATCCGACTTCTCCGATTTTAGCCCTGTCCTTGTTTCCACATGCTCCTTGTTCAGCCGGGTCTTGAGAATAAACACGCCCGCGATAATCCCCAAAGCAGACATGCACGTATAGAGGATCCACATGTTCCTCAAACTCCAGGCGAAAGCCTCCTTGACGGCAAGCATTTGAGTTGCATCCTGAATGGTCTTGATGATTTCGATATTCGCCGCTGCAGAGTCTCCCGACATCTGCTCCGTCAATGTTTCTGACATGCCGGCGGCGAGCAGGGTGGATTTCATCTGGCTCATGGAGTTCTGGAACACCACGCCGCCGATGACGATAGACGACGATGCTGCCAGGTTACGGATGAAGCCGAGGGTAGCGGTTGCAGTGGCAGTTTCGTCCTGAGAGACCATTGCCTGGATTGCGATGACGGGAGGTTCAAACATGAGCCCTGCCCCGATCCCGCTGAGAATTTGGTATCCGATTATTTGACCCAAGGATGAGTATGCATTCAAATGAATGTACAGCCCGTTGCCGATTGTCGATAATGTCATTCCCAGCCAGATTAGCTCGCGATAGCGGCCGGTGCGGTGGATGACGGCTCCGGTGATGATGCCGGCGAAAGCTTCGGACAGAACTAGGGGTAGAACGAGGATACCAGAGCGTATGGGTGAGGCCTCTTTGATAGATTGTAGGTATAGAGGGACGTAGTATTCGCCAGCGATGAAAACCTACCCCTGGTAAGCTTAGCCTTGAACAACAGGTGGGAAATACGTACGAAGCCATGAGCAAATGTGACGGCCATTGTTGCGATGTTGGAGGTCTGGGCAAAGAGACTCATTGGCATCAGAGGGTACTTGGCCAGCCGCTTCTCGCTGTAGATGAACAGCAAAGAACAGAGCGATCCGAAAACGATCAGACAAATGACCTTGGGCGAGTCCCAAGGGAAAGTTTCACCACCAAAGTCCAAGCCAAGGAGAAGCATCAGCGTCAGACCGAGGATCGAGAGACTTCCGAACCAATCAATAGCCCTCACTCCGTCGAGCATTTTTGTCTTAGGGTCGTGCACGTCGAGAAATAGCAAGAGCAGCACAAAGGCAAGTCCGCAGACCGGCAGATTGACCCAGAAACTCCATCTCCAGGAGACATACTGGGAAAATGCACCACCAAGAAGGGGACCGATTCCTCCCGCCAGCGCCCACATGAACTCCATCAATCCGAGATAGAGACTCCGGTGCCTGGCAAGTCAGTCATAGCCGTGGACATTCGAAATGCGCCTACATACCTGACACTGAACAAATCCGAGATGACAATAGTGACTAATTGAAGCAGGCCGCCTCCGGCAACACCCTGGAGTGCGCGTCCCGCGATTAACATGGGCATATCCACCGCCGTAGCACAGATGATCGAACTCCCAAAGAACCAAGCCACGGCCAGGAGCAAGATGGGCTTGCGACCCCAGATATCCGAGAGCTTGGCCCAGATGCAAGCACCAGCGGCATTGGCCAGAAGGTAAGCACCGCCAATCCAGGTATATCCCGCGGCCGAGTGCAGTTTGGCTGCGATAGTTGGGATAGCCGTGGCCATGATCGTCTGGTCAAGAGCAGCCACAAACATGGACAGCTGGAGTTTAGATTAGCTTGATGCGAAATCGAAGTCATTGCTTTGTCCTCACCGAGAGGGCCACCATGATGGCGAAGACCTGGACCTTGCTACGGTGCGGCATTGCCGCAGAGTCCATCATCTCCATCGTCTCCATATTGACAATCGTCTTGACTCTTATCCGGGGGCAGTTCTACGTTGACCAGGATCCAGGCCGCTGTGTTTGTCGATCTGTAGATCGCCTAGCACAGTTGAATGAGTCTGAGTCAAAAGACTTGAATCTCGCCAGTTTTTCTTTTAGTGTATCGACTAATCCTATAATACTCTAGCATAGTTTATTTGAGTACTGGATACGGCAAATAAGTCACTATCATTTGTCGGTTGCCGGCTATAGTGGAGATGTTTTCACCTTACCCCACTTGACACAGAGAAAAAGAGGACAAAAGCGATAGGCGCCAATTTTCTTAGATGCCCAACAATATCTCGTTTTCCGATTGGTTTCACGGGCATCTCCGAATTCACACGTAGAAATAGCTCAACTCCCACCGAGCATGACCATGCCAGCAAGATTGATGCTCTGCACCATCGACAACATGGCCAGTCCGGAAATCACCGCTTCGTCCTTGACAAGTTGATCGAGACCAGCGACTACTTCAAATGTGCCCACTTGCTCATTGGAAAACGCCTTGTTTCGAAAGCGAGCCAGCACCCTTCTATCCGACTCATTCTCCGTCTCGTTAACAAGTCGAAAGTCACCCAGGTTCCCCGTCTGGTCGGCTTCCCATGTGAGGATCGGCGATGGTGCCGGAGACGATGGAGAGCTCCTGGTATTTGCGGCAGACATTGCCGGTGACGTGAATGAGTAGCTGGTAGAAAGGATGCTCTTCCTACTGAGCAAGACATCCCGGTGCTCGCGGATCTGAAGCTGGACGTTAAGGCTTGTCATCTTGAATTGTGCCGTGTAGACCCGGCGTTGGAAGTAGGCGCTCTCATCCTGGGGAAACGCTTGGTCGGTATGATCGCTTGGGGCAGGGCTCAGGCGAATCATTTCCATCTGCGGCACTTGACGGCAAACCTTGACATGGTACAGGGGGGTACGCGAGGCTGCGTCTACTAGGGACAGATATTTGCCGTCAGTGTAAGTGATGGTGATTGTTTGAATTGCCATTATAGCATGGGTGACTGAACAGTGATATTCTAGTCAAGAATTGAGTCATGAATTCATTTCCCGACTTGGAGTTGATTAAGGAGCATATATATTTGTCTCATTGATGCCTACAATCATAGGCAGCACAGTTTCTCCAAGCCATGAAGTGAGATCATCTCAATCTCATCTATCTGTTTGTAGTTAATACCTAAACAGGGATATCACGGCACCCCATAAGCCATTGGCTAGGAAAATGGCCTGATGGCATGTGATGGTGATAGCCACCTTTAATCCCTGCCACATGGCGGTCCATGCTTATTTGAATTCTGAGAGGACTAGAAATCATAAGGGCAGACTCCTGCTGGGTTGACTACCTTAGAACCTGCTGGGTTATGGGCTGGGTTAGGGCCCTGGAAATTTAGAACCCAAACCCGCCGGGTTGGGTTCAAAAGATAGGAGAACCCAGCCCAACCCGCGAAAATAACAACCCTAAGAAAGGGCATATATCATATACTATAATAGTTTTAATGTAAGTAGTAACTAAGTGGTATATAACTAAGTAGTATTATAATATATCTGTATTTTCTTTAATTAGATTGGGCAGTTTCACCTAATCTGATAAAACCTCAAGAACCGTAACTGACAGTTTTAACTGAACTCGGATCGGTTTCACCCTAGGGAAACTGCAACCGGTGCGGTTCCCTAGGCTAGTCACCGAACCCGCACCGCTGTGAGTTCGGTGAGGGTCGGATTCGATTTTAGCGGTTCGGTTATGCAACTCTAGCTACGCAATAAAGAAAGTGATTATATCAGGGCAAATGTAAATGTGTGGACCTCGAGCGCTTAGGTAGGATCATAGGATCATATTAGGGAGGGAGAATCTATCCACATACACCCATTGAGCAGGGGCAGCAGAGATATACAAGATGAGAGGGAGGGAGGGGGGAGCGGAGCCGCCGCCCCAGGAGCAGGCTAAGAAGCGTAGCCAATCAGGGGACGAGAAAGCCCATGGAGGGCAAGGTGGTTCAGCCCCTGGGGAGTAGACGCTTGTGAAAATCCATCTCACGCCTCAACCTCATCGCATGCAGGATCAAGTGAATAAATCCTGATCAGAATAAACCTCCTTGGGCGGCCAGTAGTCCGGCCCGAGGCTCCATGGCACCAGAAAATCATCCCGGATCAAGGCTTCTTCCAGCTCCTGCACCGTAATACGTCTGGCATTTGGCAAGATCTGCCGAAGCCTGGACTCAAAGTCGGGGATCTCCAGCTTCCCGAGCAGGCAGCCGTCTGTCCCAAGTGCAATGGAGGTAAAGATATCGCCGGAAAGGGCGGTAAGAACAGCATTGCTATCTTCGGCGGTACAAGGGATGAGTACGTCCGTGGAACTGGCCCAAGCTCTCCGTTCCGACTCGTTCCTCTCGTAATAATCACTGTCGGAATCCCCCTCGATCTCAAGATCTTCCTCATCAGACTGCTCATCCTCGGAGTCTCCATATCCGCCATAAACATCCTGGGAATCCTCCTCGGCAGGTCTGTTCTCAGGGTGTATACCATCAGCTCTGGTATACTCGGGAACAAAGGCAAGCAGTCGTGAAAATGCCAATGTAGTCAAGCCTTCCACCACGGTCTTCAGTCTTTCAAATAACGCGGGGAAATCGAAATACGGGAAGAGTGACTGCTGGCTAGCTAGCAGCCGTACGAACAGGGTTAAAAGAAAGGACGTATTCACTTCAATGAGCAGCGTCCCTCCTCGCAAGAATTCTGGATAGCTGAAGGCGTGATATCTGAATATGTGTGACAACTCGGGGGCGAAGGCATCGAGTAAGATGACTCTCCGGTTGGAGGGATTATAGCCCCCTTCGAGAAGACTGATCATAAGATCCAGAGAGTTGTATCTTCCCGGCAAGTCGTCATCAAGCGACGCTTCCAGGAGAATCTCCAACGGATCGCCGGTGAGATAGAATGGAGGGACTAGGTCTCCAACCGATTCAACAAGTGATTGATGAAAGTTGATAGTCCTATGCCCGGCGTATCGGATGGGGGACGTGTTGCCAAGTGCGCGAAGGAAAGCAAGATCCTGGGCGGACGTGACTTGGCCCCACTTTACTGCATCAAACACAGATTCCAGGATATATGCCTGATAAATCGTCGAAATCCTCTTGCCGTGGGGAGCATCGCCAGCGAGCTGGGCAAATCCGGCTCGTGCCTGGGTAAAGAAACCCGCGCGGGCGACGGCGCCGATGAAATCCGGGTGCAGGTAGCAGGAATTATCAAAGACCCATTCCCCCATTGAATAGAGCGCTTGTGCTAGGCTCAACAGTTCGTCGGCACTTTCTGGAGATAAATTGTCGCGGCACGATCCAAAGAATATACTCGCAATTGTGAACTTGCGACCGAGGGGTTGGCAGAGGTTGAGGATACGGGGAGGGAGTGTCTGCGCCTTAGCCTCTATCTCCAGCCTGCAGCAGCCAAGTAATCCCCGCATGAGATTCAGACGGCGGGCTTCGCGTGGTGATGGGTCTGCGCGGCGTATGCGTTGACCCTCTGGCGTGTTCATGAGAAATTCCTGGGCGGACCGATGTATGAGCGTCACAGTCCCATCCGTAGTCACTTCCAGTAAGCCCGCACACCGGATCGGCAACCGCTCCGATATCATCTCGCATTCTCTGTCTAGTGCCTCCTCCCAGGATTCGATATCCTCTGTCACGACCGCGGCTGCCAGCCCCGGTTGCAGTGCTAGAGCCAATAGCAACGGACTCGCTGTTTGGGTGAGATTAAGGTCGCCTACACATTCCAACATGAGGTTGAAATACCGAGCGGCTGTTTCCAGATATACAGCCTCGCTGTCGTTGAGCCGCCGCCACATCTGTTGATAGAGCGTGTTGAGATCGTTGGGAAGCGAATTCAGACGCTGTTCTTCCAGCTCGGCCGGGCTGTCGTGGTTGTGGTGCCCTGTTTGAATGCTCTGTAGGGCCAAAGCAACCCATAGGAATACCCCGTCCGCCTTGGAACAGATGGTGGACACCAGGCGGCTAATGGTCTCTGCGTCGTCGACGTATAACCTTTGCAAAGTATCGTGGGCGTACTTTTCGATGTCAAGTCGGGTCAAATCCTGCGCCCGAAACTGGGGGTAGCTATGAAAGCGTCGTTGCAACGCAGGCTCTTGTCGGCTCGAGACGCAGACCTGCAGCCGCGGTAGAGAACACAATTGATCCAGAAGGCCGAACAGAGCCATGTAGTCGTCCATTTCATCAACACCGTCCAGGAAGATGCAAAAATGCTGTCCACAGGCCGGAACCACATCAACAAAAAGAGCAAGGAGTTCATTGGTGGACCAATCACCGGGAAATCTCTTCCGTCTTGAGGTTGGAACCTTCTCCAAGACGACCCGACAGATATCTGGCTTTGTGTCTAAAAGCTGGTAAATCAAAGAGCAAAGGAGCCCTTTCATATTTCGTTCAAGTGGCTTCCCTGCAGTCCATAGGAAATGGGACAAGACGATGGTGGTTCCGTTTGCATCATTAAGGATGGACTGGGTGCGCGGATTGACGACCAAAAACTTCATTAGGACGCTTTTTCCCGAGCCTGCTTTGCCATTGATCCAGAATAGGCGTTGTCTAGGGAATTGCAGCCATTCCACAAATCCATCCTACGTAAGAAAGTCAGCATGATAATCACATAAGTATGAAGTAAGCCGCTCTTCCTATACCTGGTTATTAGCATCACTATTGCTATGTTGAGGATGGAAGATCCAGGAAAAGGTATCGTCGTGATTAGCTATAATATGGTTCCGCCGAGCCTTCATTGTTTCATAATGCAAGCTTCCCAACAGCCTCTCATGCTCTTCTTTTTCAATCCGATGGTGTGTAAGCTCTTGTAAACGAGACAATATGTTGTCCTGGAGCTGGCTTCTACCGGAGGAAAGGCTGGTTTCAACCGACTGCTCGAGAGCTCCTAGCTTACTATCGATATGTGTCGTCATAGTTAGAAACCCTCTCTGAATGAGCTGGTCAAGAGTCGTCTGGTTGCGGGCACAGCATTCAATGAAGCCTTGTAATGCCCGGTCGAGACTGTTAAAATTTACTTGTTGTTCAAGAAGGAGTGCATCGTTCTGGCTGCTGTAGACTGTGTCAGTAAAGAATTTATCACGACAATGTCGGAAATGGGCGTGTAACTACCAGATGTGAGCTATGAGTCGACTCTCTAGAACCTGTTGACGATCATGCATCACCTTCTCCAGTCTCTCGACCTTCCTCCTTTTCCCACCCAGGGCGGCTTTGAGCCATCCACGGAAGGCGGCGGAATGCTTTCCCTTGGCTGCTGTGCCTGCGATGTTGTCTAGCTCGACCTTTAACTCCTCTGCGGTCTCTAGACTGCCTTTCGCAATGTCTAGCAGCTCCTTCTCGTCTTGAACAAGAGGTCTTCCCTTCTCCAACGAGTCCCTCAATCTCTCCAAGCCTCCCTTTATGTAATCGCTTGTCTGTGCGAGGTTAGGGTCCAGAGATCCGTATTTGTAGATAGCTTTGGCCAAATGGGCTCCATCTTGCACAAAACCAATCACCTGCATGACGTTGCACACAAGGCCAAAAACTGTGAGCGCTTCGGCGCCAGACATGGTATTATAGTATGGGACGAGGGGCGATACTAGTGAGAAGCTACATAACTACATTAAGAGGTTCAGCTTCTTGATCAGGCTGACCGTTATGTAAGCATGGATCTTAACTTGGTTAGTAACTTAACTAACCAATAGTAGGTGCAGATCGTCATGGCGTTTCGGAGACTTTTTTCAGATCATTGCGCTCAGCTCTGCTCTCCAATCGAAGTATTTTGGGATTCCTCTACAGGAGCTTTCAGTGGCGTAGAAGGATAAGAGGTCCGATTCGATTGGTGAAACATGATACAACCGTGTATACTCGCTTTCGTGCGACCACTCCAAAGAAGGACATGCCCCGAAGCTCCGATAACCTCCTGCGAGGCGATAAGTTCGTAGACCTGTAGAACATGGCTCCGAGCTCCATCGCATGGACACGAAACCTACGGACGTTCTCGAACAATATAAGATAAATCCTGTACAGAAGGCCCTATTTCCGGGTCGACTGAGAGGGGCCAACCACTCCCTGCGAAGAGCCCCGTCCAAGCTGTGGCGTTCAAGTGGCAGTCAACAAGAGCGGAAGTGCCCGAGAGCAAGGTTTTGAATGAGGTTGTTCAGAACAGCTAACTTGATGTGTTCTTGAACTTCGGCAGTGGACTCTCAAACACGGAGATAGTGCGTGGTTCTTCCGAGTCTGATCGGACATGGCTGTCTGGCGGTGTGAAACTGCGACCCTACGAGCCTTTCGAGTTGCTTCAGCTCCTTCTGACGTCGAATCTCCTCGTACAATGAGAAAGCAGGTAAATCCTCAAATACCGGGGAGATTGATTCCTAATAAAGCAAGGGTGTACTACTGTTGATCTTAACAAGTACTTCTCAAATCTCCCCGTCTAACCATTGTGTCAACGACATAGCAAATAGGCACGTATTGTCTTTATCTCCGAGTCTGGCGTCGACCTTGAACGTCCACATACCGCTCTTCAAAAACATAGTAGGAATCTGGAAATCTAGTAATACGTCGCTGCGGCCGCTGCTTGGTAGGTAATCAACCTGAGTGCCATTGGAGTCGCGAATGACGAAATGGGCTGCATCGTTGATGGAAATAGTTTTTAACGGTATTGTAAAGGACCTTGGTTCCATGTAGCTACCATCCGGGTAGAAACCAGAGCCGCTCACAGAGAGGGTTGCATCGACGAGGCCCTCATCAAGAAGTGCTAGCTCCTTTTTAGACTCAGGTAGATAGCGGCGCAGGTAGACAAAGAAGACGCGGTCGCTTCGGAATGTCAAAACGTTATCATTTAAGCGGCACATCAAGGAGGGATCTTACGCGACAATAGGCGTCGGGGCAACCTCAAGGAACTCAACCTTCAACAGCTGGTCTTCTTTTGGCACGGTGTCGTATATAGCATCACTGTGACCGGGGACCTTATCTTGTTTAAGCATGATGTCCATGCTAATAAGAGATTTTTGCTGCGCAGGGTTGGCGTTAACAAGGACGGCTAGTGCAGCGGCGCAAAGAGACAGGAAGTGTAGGAATGTTGATTTCATCATCTGGCAGTGGTGTGGATGGGATTTTGAGATGGCTCAACGTAATCGGTGAGCGAGTAGGCCACACAACTGAGCAGGCCACCTCACGCGTTTCTAAGCACTCTCAAGAGATCAAGGCAGTTCAAATATCAATTATGCCACCAAAATCATCTACGAAGTTATAAAATTCTGTAGATGGAAAATTCTTATTATATTAGCCCTTAAAAAGCAAGAAATTTGCACTATTTATGATGTAATCACCAAGGTCGCAAATATTCTGCTTTAACGTATCAGAGAGATACGAAAGTGACTGCAGCATTATGCCAGCGTGGACAGAAGATTGGAAATATGCTGGATCCTCCTTACTAAGGATTAGAAACTTTCGTGCAGATTCATGGATGAGGGAGACCTTGTCATGGCGAATAATGTGCAATGGGCTACACATCTGTACCCAAACGATTGGGTCATCGGCCTTGTCAGGAAATTCCAGCACAGATGGCAAGGCGACAACTCGAATGGATTCATAGACTACGGCCATTACATCCAGTAGCTGCGTGCAAACTAATAGGTCTTTGGGGGCCAGTGTGCCCGAGATTTTTTTCATCGCCAGTAGACCCGTTGGTCACGCTATGGGAATCTGATTTGACAGCGTGGCTGCAGAATCCGACCTGTTCTAGCAGCAGCTACAGCGATGCATGCCTTTATGGTAGCTTGGAAAAGCGATCAACTCCTTACGGAATTTTCAGTGGTCATCCGACACGAGGTTTGGCCATGAGTGGTCAGTACGCCTTATTTGAGAAGCGTCAGGACCAGTTGATTCTGTTTCGAGCAATTCCATTATTATCATCCTGACTGATATCATCTTTGCCTACCGGTCCAGTTCTATCGCGGCCAAAGTCTCTAGAGAAATCAAAGTATGGGACAAAATCATTGGGGCCCAATACACCTACCTGGCCACCTCTCAGATGATGCCGTTCCTGATGGACCAGTGGGATATCTCTTGCATACATCTGGGTGAGCTCGCTTGGCATCTCATTGAAACAACGGGAAGGCTCATAAGAAGTCATGGACCGGAGCTCCTTGCAGGCAAATTGGGCCCACAGGTACGTTCCCTCCGATAGCCGTTCCAGGTCCGTGAGCAAGCGGAGTCGACTCAATGCGGTAAGCTTGGGAATTGAAAGCCCAAATACCTGCCATGCAAGGTAGGGGTCAACTGCCTTAGACACTTGAGAATCACACCGCTGCAGGGCTAGAGTGATCATAGGCTGTACTTTGCTCACTAGTCGTTCGATTTCGGCGTCAGTTCGACTCGAAACAATCCACTTCACATATGGAGACTGGTCGAGAGTCTGCTGAATGAGGTGCTTAAGTTCTTGGATGCCTTTCCGACACTCGTCTAGACCATCGATTAGAATGTATGTTGATCTGTGTGGTATCATGCTGAGGATAAACCGAAATATATCGCCGAGGAAGAATATTTGAGCGCTGTTGGCGTACGAGCCGCCGTGCGTATACCTCTTTTTTACCTGGGCTCTAATATATGGATGCTCGAAAAGTAGGGTGTAAATAATCCCTTTCACAATGGGAGTAGAACTGTCCACCACACCATTTTGGCAGAAGAAATACACCAGGTGACCTGAAAGTACAGTCTTCGACAATTCTTCAATTAGGCCAAGTAGATGCATAGTTTTTCCTGTCCCCGGATTGCTGTGGATCCAGAGCAAGCGGCCTTGCTCTCGCGCCATCCACGCTTCATAATCAGGGTGTTTTAGCATCCACTCCTATGATGCTCTCAGTAATCCTCCGCTTTGCTGGTGAATTCTGTCCCTTGCGTGTCGAGGGTTGAATCTTGCAAAATCCTCAAACCAGTTTCTTCGGGGGATAGGTTCAGCACTGTTTTGCGGGATAGATTCCAGCAGTCCTTTTGTATAAGCTGCTGCAACAACTGCAGCGTATGGTTGCCAGTCATCGTTTTTGTGAGAGTCGGCGTAATCACAAATTCCCTTGACCACAAGACAACCGAAATTGTCCATTAGGCCTGCTGCTTCCATTTCAATGCAGATGGTACCTTCTTGATCGCGTAGTCGATCTCTTGTCCTTGAGTCCTTGAGTAATATGTCCCCCGATGCAATCAATCCGTATATATATATATATATATATATTTTCTGCTCTCTTTGGTTGTGGAACCAACTTGCGCGAGTCGCATCTTTCACAGGAATTCGCTTGAGGGTAATGGTGGTAGTCTGCCCGAAAGATCTATCGTGATTGCGACTTGGCGCTACCAACCGACCGTTCATTTCCTTTCTCTTGCCACTGGTTTCGGAGAGAATGCGTGCTATGGGGTCTCCATTTATGCTAGCAAGAGCCCGATATGTTGAAAGCGCAGTGAGGTGATCCTGTGGTGGCTTGTTCATACTACCGCTCCGTTGAAACCCAGTATGAAACTGTTTCCCGAAGTCATACTGCACAACTCCTGGCGAAGTACTAGTGGGCATGCTTACGATGACGTCTCCGAGTCGAATATCCGCGGACTCGCTGGGGATCCCAGCTCCGATTCCCACCATGAATCGATATTGAAGATTTCGGAACGTTCTAGACATCTGAGCCGCGACATTTGCAGCGGAGACTTTACCGTATATACCACTAGGGAGGCAAGCAATGACAATGTTATGTTGAGCAATTTCCCCGTATATGTATGAGTTGTTATCATTTCGGGGCGGGGGCAGTGTATCGTGTGTCTTGTCGAACATGATCTTCGAAGCTGCCATCTCCAGAACAAGGTGCATATCCACCCGACTGTGTAGTCATCGTAGTGGCTCATCGTGAGTTTGACCAGTGCAACTGGACTGTGCGTAGCAGAGAAGATGATGATTGATACCCTCAGAGGCAAGCGACCAAAGAACAAACGGAGCGGCATGGGAGCAGCAATATGTGAGTATCCAATGCGCCTTGGAGTTGACGAAGGAAAGAATTACTGGATATTTGTAAAACAAGCAAGGAAAGTGTCCATGTCATGGTTTCGATCACCGGGCCATAGAGCTGGCGTTTGTGATACCAGCGGCTATTGTTTGGATAGACTTCTCCCCCGACACACTCATAATTCTCAGCCAGCATTGCACCAGAACTGAAACATTGTGCAGTCTCATAAATAGGTATAGTTGATGGTTTGATTGGCTCTAGGAGGATTTACGCGCCCTACATTCAGACTGATGGACGCGAGTGATCGGCGCTAATCTGCCAGCGCATAACTACTAGGTATCTACTAATTCTGGTCACATAAAAGATTATATAGGGGCCTGTATCCGCACCAAAACTTATATATTATATTTTAGAAAATAACATCTATATTACTATACATACTCCTATAAATCTGGATATTAGAATAAAAGTGATACTTTTATTACTCAGATATTTATAAGTTATATCTTTTTTCTCCTCTTTAAAAGCGTTTATCAGTGGTAATAATCCAGAGCTCTCGAGTAATTGTCAGCTGCATTATAAAGGTGTAGTGCTGAGCATTTCATAACCAACTGTGACAGACCTTAAGCATATATAGTTAGACGTTACCAGAAGCCTTCAGTCGATAGTTGCATTCTATGTGTGCCCATCAGGATGCCTAATTTAGTATTTAAGGAACCTCCAAGCTTCAGTTTCTGTATCTATAAGGTACAAAGTTCAGAGTTATTAATACCAAATACTATTCTTACTGCTCCATTAATTGATTCCCCCTGTTTTCCCTTTTCCTATTATAGAAAGTATTAGATGGAAGTAGGCAAAGCCCTCACTATATATCCTAAGCTTAGAGGAATTACGGTACTGGCCTAAAATTTATAAACTCTTACTCTCTCCTGGGTGATATGCTCACTATGTTGTCACCCACCTCAGCTGCAAACCACCCAGGACTTAGTGTCTGTAACCCCTAAAAGCAGGCAACACACTCAGGCACTTTGTACTTCTGACCTCGTTGGCAATAGTGGTTTAAGTACGGCTGAGCAGACGGGAAGCCCTGTTCTCCAAACCCTCTGCTCGTATGTGCTAGGTTTGAGTTAAGGCAGCCTTATAGAATGCATTTAAATATGATCACACAGAGCTATACAGTTCCAGCAGTAATGGGCCTCAGGGCTAATGCGCAAGGACATGATCCAGCTAACCTTTATTATCTCCCAACAAGTGTAACTGTACTCTTTCTAGTCACGAAGGCACAATAGCAAGAAATTTCAAGGCAAGAAAGACACATTGTTAGGTGTTATACAACGCTAATTAATTCTAAAATGCTCGTTGCTCACCAATAACGTATCAAAACAAAGAGAGGCTAGCTCAGATGTGAAATTAAACTAATCTGGATGGCAGTTCCTTAGGTAGAGCCGGATGAAAATAGGAACTAGTGATTAGGAAACAATGCACGAATGCTAGGCGCAATAACAGGTCACCACCCACATTGCGAGTGGGTACCCGGTGGCGATCGAGCCTGTAGTATCTCCATCACGCACGATTGTTATCGCATGTTTTGCGATAAAAGTGCGAACGCGGCCAGTGGTTTCTACTGATAATAGATTCATTAGCAGACCAAAAGCTTGAACTTAACACAAGAGGAGCACGATAAAGTGTTGTTCTTAGGGTTTGGGAGGAGCTCCGCCCGTTAGGTTCTTATCGACCGCTCAGTTCCCGAAGAGGTCATATTGGCAGCAAGGGTATACTTCATGACTCTTTGGATGTTCATCCTTGCATATCAGACATTGCACTTGACTGGAATCCTCTTCCTGCATATTCACTGTCAGCAATGTCTCTCAGTGAAATCCGGGGCCGGCTCGCTCTTGTTACTGGTGCATCAGGAGGGTGTGTGGAATCGAATCACTATTTCTTTATACTATCTTTGCAGTGAAATAGACTAAAGGACTTAATAATACTAGAATCGGCGCCGCGTGTACTGAGCAGCTGGCACAACATGGAGTCCACCTCGCTCTGACCTACTCAACCAACCAGACCGCGATGAACGAACTCATAGCATCTCTACAATCCCGATACGGGGACCAGCAGCTTCGCATCTCTACGCACCAAGTCGATGTTGGATGTCCAGATCAGATCGAAGCGATGTTCGAGCAGATCGATGCCTACCACGGCCACCGACCGGACATTCTGATCTCGAATGCCGGATACGGGAAACGCATTACTCAAGTTTGGGATATTGGTCTGGAGGAATTCGACAAGATGATGAACATCAACCTTCGTGCTTCGTTCATTCTCGTAAAAGGCGTTGTCGAGCGCATGAAGAGCGAGCGATGGGGTCGCATCGTGTTCATCTCATCAATTGCTGCATACGGGGGAGGAATCAATGGATGTCGTGGGTATGCTCGTTTTCTTATTCTTGCCGTGGATTAACGCTCCTTTTGCCAGACTACGCGGCTTCCAAGGCCGGATTGACTGGGATGATGAAGAACCTAGCTACTCGACTGGCTGAGTATAATATCAGCGTGAATGATGTTGCTCCTGCAATGATTGGGAATACTGGGATGATTGCCAATGCTGCAGCTGTTCCGAAGGCAGTAGCAGGTATTCCTTTGGGTCGGCTGGGGACGCCGGAAGAGACAGCAAATGTCGTGAGTATGTTGGTGAGGACAGGATACATGACGGGCCAGAGTTTACTGCTTGCTGGAGGGTTAAAATGAGCAGTTGATGCCGAGAATTTGGAAAAGAAAAGAGACAGAAAAGCTCATTTGTTAGAGATGCATCACATAAGCTCGGTAAATTTTATCAAGCTCGAATGACAACGTAAATTTGTAAGCGATAAAGTCATGGCCCAAAGTGTTCGAACAGTAGCAGGAGACCCGACAGAATACAGGACCACGAGCAATTTCCCTGGAATGAGTCTCTTATCAAGTCCCACGGCAAAGAGTAGACACCCTGGCTCTTGCTAGTCGTCTATATGTACTTCCATTGGCAATCGTCATCGGCGGCGCATTTAAGCGCGAAAGTGGAACCAGCATCGCGGAGTATTTGCAGTACTTCCACGAATCTTAACCCGAGCTACAGCTACAATCCTATCCTGAATGCTAGTGCCAACATGGTCACATGCTTCAAACATGGATGATCTCATATCATGAGCCTCAGAAGCGGGACGCTAACGCAGCGTCGCTGCTACTACTACTTGCTCACTTTAATAATCAAGATATCTGGTTTGAATTGGTACAGAGTGGCTGTAATAGATCAGATGTCCCAGTGTGACTCAAAAGGGCTGCAACGAGCCGGCTTGCGTTTCGAATTGGTGTGAGGACTCTTATCGAGTTCTCCCTTCATGAGATTAAGCGACAGGACGGAAGCTATACAATGCATCCAGTGGTACAGGACACTGGCCTTCAAGTTGCTACCGCTGACAAGAATGTGAATTCGCACCAGCTCGATGAACTTACACTGGTATGTGTCGGGTACACCTTCCCTAGTTCAAGTGTCAGAAATTATTCTGAGCTTCCGCAACGACTTATTCCACACGAGAATTATATATGTCATGGAGATGGTCAGGCGATAGTATTGCGCTATGGGGAGAATTCCATGGTTTAGGAGGCCTCTATGACGATCAGGGGAAGCTGAAGGAGACTGAGGAGATGTGACAGCGAGCAATGGCAGGTAAGGAGAATGCTTTAGGCCCTGATCATACCTCCACTCTTGATACAGTCAACAACCTTGGGAGTCTCTACGCTGACCAGGGGAAGCTAAAGGAGGCAGAGGAGATGTACCAGCGAGCACTGGCAGGCAGGGAAAATCTCTAGGTCCTGATCATACGTCCACCTGGTTCCCCTAAGCGTCGTTAAAGCGATGTTCTGGACAAGCTTTCGCAGACCATAAATGTCTCCACCATATTTTCTCTCCCCTTTCCGCCATCAGAGGCTCGATCTCAATGCCAAGCCAGCCCACAGAGCCGTCAGGGCTGATCAGAAATTTCAGGAAGGTACATGTCGCTGATGATTGCATCACCTCTGTTTCCATTAGATCAGAAACCGAAACATCAAGAAAGACAACAACGGGGAACTGAAAAGAGAGATTTTTCCGCATACCTTGCAACCCAGTCAAACCGATTCTCAGGAGGAACACCCAATTCTTCATCGATCAAATGATAAGCAAGTACATTTGCGGCCGCATTGATTTCATTCATATTGTTACCTAGCAACACAAGTCCGAATTTTCGTTGTGGGAGGAACATGACGCTTGCACCATATCCGAACTGGAATCCTTCATGGAACAATATCAATTCGCCGTTGTAGACATGCGACATCCATCCCAGTCTATAGAGTGTGGGGGATTGGAACGGCGATAGAGTGGCCACCAAACACCTTGTCGTAGGCTGCTTGAGAAAAAGGATCCCCGCGGTTTAGCATGGTCGAAATCCATTTCGCGTAATCTGATACAGATGACAATATATTTCCTGGGCCTCGAAGGGTGTCTACGAAAAACTCGATTAGTGGAAATTATATCACCGTCCAAGCCCACTAAGAAACCTTGGGAAATGTCCCGGTTCGCCTTTCGTGCCTCAGAGAGGGAAAGGTAAGTCTCGGTCATATTCAGAGGTAACCAAATATTTTCTGTCAAAAAAGCTTCCAAGGACTTGTTCGTTACGGTCTCGTTGAGAGAAGAAGCCACACTGTACATAAGGTTGCAATATTGCCATTCTTGAAGCGTTATGTTAGCAAACCAAACCCAGTCGTGGCGTGGCAGGCCAGAACGATGAGAGAGTATGTCAACGATCGTCATCTGTGATGTAGCCCAAGGATCTTTG